TTGAAAATTAATAAAAATATCCCCTATGTTTGTTTATTTACTAAACACTCTTATAATAAAATATTAAAAGTTAACAAAAACACCCCCAACCCACCCATTAAATACCGACAGCCGACTACCACCATCGGAGGGTGACCGGAGTGTTTTTGCAATTTCTAAAAAAAATATTTGGGAGTGTTTAGTTAAATTAAAAAATTTAGGAGATTTAAAAGAAATTGAAAAATATAGAATAATATTTTGGAAATAATGACATTTTACTGTTTAATTTTTTTGGGAATACTAATAAGCGAACCAAACGAAGCCTATATATCTATATCACATTCTCATTAATACTAACCCTTCACCTCCCAAATTTTAATCATAAAGAATTTTATTCAATTAATGACATATTAATAAATTAATTATTTTATTTTATTCTGCATTAAGAAGGTTGAATCCCTCCACATTCGGCTCTTAGATACAAATGCTTTACATTTGCATTCAATGTTCTGTATTAATTTCTAACATCCACATTCACATTAAATGCTGAAATTGTTATTTGGTTTGTAGAAACTGTTCACATTCACATTCAATGTTTTGTAGAAGTCTTTCACATTAACATTCATATTAAATGTTGAAATTGTTATTTGTTTGTTTATTATTTAATCTGATAAATACTGATAATTCACATGCATTCATTGTTTTGTAGAAACCTTTGTCATTCATACTTAAAAGTAATTGTTTTGATGGTTATATTGCTTTTGTATATGTGAATGTGAAGTGGCGCATTTTTTTTTTTTTTTTTTTTTTGGTGAAAGGGTATACATGCATGGATAGGCATGAATACTAATGGATTGATAACGTGTATTATTTATTTTTGAGAATGTGAAAAATGCATTATATTAGTTGCAGTATTAATTACTTTGAATCCTCTATATAGATGTCCATTATGTAATAGTTTGTTATATAATTTATCTAAAGAAAGACAGGTGTGTAATTCATAATTCTTATTTGTCATTGTTTTCTTTTGGTTTTTCCAGTTTATTATTAAACTTTTGATGTTGATAATGTATTCATTTCTCTACGCATTTTTAATTGGTTGGAATTTATTTGCTGTTATATTGTTATAGGGGGTGTTTGTCTGAGCTTATGAAAATTAGCTTATAAGCAACAAGTGCTTATAAGCTAAGCATTTGAAATTTTAAGCAATTACGTGTTTGGTTAAAATACTTATAAGTGCCTGATAAGTAGTTGACGTGTTTGGTAAAATGTGGCTTATAAGTATATTTTATTATAAAATGACTAAAAAATGTACTACATTAAACAAAGGTATACTAAGGAATTTTAAAATTAAACAAGGACAATGTGGTAATATACTTGGTCAAACTAGCTTATAAGCAGAGTGCTTATAAGCCAAAAAAAAAAAGTACCTCCCTCCCATCTTATTTTTTTTTTTTTTTTTGCTTATAAGTTCAACTTATAAGCTTAAAAAAGTTATAAACAAACGGGTCAGCTTAATTTTAGAGCTTATAAGCTAGTTTGACCAGCTTATAAGCTTAGACAAACACCCCCATAGTCCTGTTTGATTTCTCTGCACATCATTTCAATCTTCATTTTCATCTGTTTCAGGAAAATCAAATGATGATGACCTACGAGGATTGGTATCATTCGACAATTTCAAGATGAACAAGCGAGGATTTTTGCCATAAAAACAAATTCAATTTTAGTGATGAGAAAAGAAAACAAATATTGATATATAGTTTTAATTGTAATTGTTCTATCTCTTTTTGTTGATATTTTTTTATGTTACATACATAAATCATGAAAAGAGGTTGTTGCTAAATATAACTAATTTTATTTGTTTAACAAATATCAACTGATGTTTGATGCCAAACCATGTAGCTTTAATAAACCATTCATTTTATCATCACACGCATTTTAGTTTCCACTAAACAGTTAGTAGTAAATTGACCATAACTTACTTAATAAGAATCCAATTGATGATAGGTTTGAACCCTTAGAAACTAGACAGACAGGGCTTTAATTTGATATATTATACGCTTAATTTGGATAACTGTAGCCCCACTGCCGAACCATTGCTTTTATCATCACATAAATTTTGGTTTCTACTGAATAATCAGTAGTAAATTGACCATAACTTGCTCAATAAAAATCTAATTGATCAGAGGTTTGAATTTTTAAAAACTAGATAGACAGGGATTTAATTTGATATATTATATGCTTAATTTGGATAACTATAGACCCACTACTAAAACATTATTTTTATCATCGCACACATTTCAGTTTCGACTGAACAATCAATAGTAAATTGACTATAACTTGCATAATAAAACTCCTATTGATGAGAGGTTTGAACCCTTAGAAACTAGATAGACAAAGATTTAATTTGATATACTATACACTTAATTTGGAAACTGTAGCCCCATTTCTTAACCATTTCTTGTATCATCACACACATTTTAGTTTCTACTGAATAGTAAGTAGTAAATTGATCATAACTTGCTCAGTAAAACTTCAATTGATGAGAGATTTGAATCTCTAGAAACTAGACAGACAGAGATTTAATTTGATATATTGTACACTTAATTTGGATAATTGTAGTCCTACTTCCAAACCATTTTTTTTATCATCACACACATTTTGGTTTCCCTTGTTTCTCGTTTCCACTGAACAATCAGTAGTAAATTAGCCATAACTTACTCCATAAAAATCCAATTGATGAGCAGTTTGAATCTTTGTAAACTAGAAAGATGGAGCTTTAATTTGATATATTATATGATGAATTTGGATAACTATAGACTTGCTGCCGAACTATTTATTTTATTATTATACACATAAAACCAATTCAATTTTAGTGATAACAAAGGAAAATAGATATTGATATGTAGTTTTAATTGTATTTGTTCTATCTCTTTTTGTTGATATTTTTTAATGTTACATACATATATCATGAAAAAAGGTTGTTGTTGAATATAACCAATTTTATTTGTATTACAAATATCATCTGATGTTTATTGCCAAATCATGTAGTTTTAGTAAACCATTTGTAATATGTCGAGCTATTATTATTATCCTTAAATGAAAACAAATATTGATATATAGTTTTAATTGTAATTATTCTATCTCTTTTTGTTGATATTTTTTTATGTTACATATATATATCATGAAAAGAGGTTGTTGATGAATATAACTAATTTCATTTATTTAACAAATATTAACTGATATTTGATGCCGAACCATGTAGCTTTAGTAAACCATTCATTTGATCATCACACACATTTCGATTTTCACAGAACAATCAATAGTAAATTGACCATAACTTGCTTAATAAAAATCAAATTCATGAGACGTTAAAATATTTGGAAACTAGATAGACAGAGCTTTAATTTGATATATTATACGCTTAATTTGGATAACTGTAGCCAAATCATTCCTTTTATCATCACACACATTTTGGTTTTTACTGAAACAATTAATAGTAAATTGACTATAACTTGCTCAATATAAATTCAATTGATGAGCGGTTTGAACCTTTAGAAACTAGACAAACAAGGATTTAATTTAACATATTATATGCTTAATTTGGACAATTGTAGCCTCACTGTCAAACCATTCCTTTTATCATCACACATATTTCGGTTTCCAATAAACAATCAATAGTAAATTGACCATAACTTGCTCAATAAAAATCCAATTGACATTTCGGTTTCCAATGAATAATTAGTAGTAAATTGACCATAACTTGCTCAATAAAAATCCAATTGATGAGAGGTTTGAACCTTTAGAAACTAGATAGACAGAGATTTAATTTAACATATTATATGCTTAATTTGGATAACTATATCCTCACTTCTGAACTATTCATTTTATCATATCACACATTTCGGTTTCCACTGAATAATAAGTAGTAAATTAACTACAACTTGCTCAATAAAATTCCAATTGATGAGAGGTCTGAATCTTTAGAAACTAGACAGATAGGACTTTAATTTGATATATTATACACTTAATTTGGATAACTGTGGCCCCACTGCCGAACCATTCTTTTTATCATCAGACACATTTCGGTTTCCCCTGTTTCTCATTTACACTGAACAGTCAATAGTAAATTGCATAACTTACTCCATAAAAATTCAATTGATGAGCGGTTTGAATCTTTGAAAACTAGAAAGATAGAACTTTAATTTGATATATTATACAGTGAATTAGGATAACTATAGACCTGCTACCAAACCATTTATTTTATTATCACAAACATAAAACCAATTCAATTTTAGTGATGACAAAGGAAAACAAATATTGATATGTAATTTTAATTGTATTTGTTTTATCTCTTTTTGTTGATTTTTGTATTGATTTGGTTGTTTGATTTGTGGGTTTTGTGGGTTTTACAATTATCGTCTTTCTTTAGGATGCTATCATTAAATGTTTTTTTTTTTTTTTTTTTTGCTATAAGTGGTGGTCAATTCTAATTGCAGCGAATGGATTTGTGTCATATGACCTTTATCTTCATAGCTTCTTCAATGCTTCAATTAAGTTGCCTTCAGATTATACTACTAGAGTTATTGTTGCTTTCTATTTGAATTCTCTTCTCAACATTCTTAATTTTTTTTTTCCTAAAATAATAATAATTCATTTTCCCTTTTCAACAACTAAAATAAGTTTTTTACTTTGGCTCTGCAAGTGTCTTGCTTAAAAGTTTACATTTTTTAGCAAGGTTTCCCTTTCTCTGATTGATTTATAAACTTACCAATAATAACCAATGAGTTATCTTACAAATTTTTTGGCTTATCAATAAGTTTTAAACTTTGGTTTCAAATGTCAAATAGTGACATATTTGAAAAGAACCATGATGATATAAACTGAGTTAAACTTGTGGATATTTATTTATTGACTTTCTAATTATCAATTCAATATAAAATGAACTGAAATACAAAAAATATATATTTAAAATAAAAAAAACCAATAATAATGTAAAAAATATATAATAAACATATCGGCATAACGCATAGGCTTTCCATCTAGTTGGGTTATAAATTGGACAACCATCAATAGGATAATGTTATCCGACAGTAAACCCTTACATTTGAAAGAAACAAGAAAAAAGAATTCTCCCGCAAACCCTTACAATTTTATACATTCTAAGAGTCTTTTGGTATTAGATAAATTTTCCATTCACAATCGTACCACTGAAATGTTCCGCGTCAAATATCTTAATTTGATAGTTTCTCATATGTCAGTTTGGTGATGTGGTGAGACCGTCGAGTCTAAGAGATGATATGGTGAGACTGTCTTATGTAAGTTTTTCTCGTGATGAGGGGTCATGTGGTGGTTACCATTTTCAGTATTTTCATCTTCAAAACTTTCTCAAAGTCACAACCTGACAGAGAGAGCATTTGAGTGGGCAGCATTTTCACTCCTGACTCCTTTACAAGCACATATCTTGGCCTTATTCTCTGCTCCAAACTGTAACTAAAATATTGAGGGAACTTAACCAGCTCAGATTTTTCATATCCCATGGTCAAAAAGAACTCCCATTTTGGTATCAAATTCTCTGTCAAGCTACAAGTATATAGAGCTGCATATCTCGAAATCATGGTCCGAATTTCTTCCACGCTATACCCCTTTGCCAAGAAGAAATCGGTCACAGGCTTCAGATTGCCTTCAATACTATGACCAAGAGTCAGTGGTGATTTTCGGAGAAGAATGGAGACGTCAACCCCTAATGAACGGAAGTACTCAACTGTTGGTCGTAGATTCTCCTCCACGCTATAACCGACAATCTTTGGCCATCGAGTCAAGATTTTACCTATACTCTCAGATGATAGGCCTAACTCGTACAGGAAATCAACGATTGCCTGAAACTTCTGCCTGCTATGAGTGAGGAGTCCAGGGAAGCGGTATATAACTTTTGCCCACTGGTCCTTGTCCACACCCAAATCTTCTAAGAACATCATTGTGGGTATTAGATTTTCAGATAGACTAACTGAGCACAATGAAGGCCTTTGGATGAGGATTTTAGGAATGTCTGATTTAGGTACCCCAAGATCAAGAAGAAACTCAACTAGTGGTTTGATTTTCCCCTCCAAGCTGCAGTAGCCAAAATCAGGACATCTGCGTGTAATTACCTTGATCTGTTCAAGATCCATGCCAAGCTCTAAGAGGTAGAGGAATTGAGGGCGTAAATCTCCAACTGTGCCAATCTCAATCATTCGAGAGACAGATTTTGGCTTCTTAGAGTCAAGAGCAGAACCAGATTGAGAAACTGATGTGGCTGGCGTTTTTTCACTAGGTCCATTACTGACCACCTTTGGCTTCTTGGAGTCAAGGGGAGCAGAAAAGGATTGAGAAACTGACGCAGCTGCCTTTTCTTTAACAGGTGCATTAGAGACCCCTTTCGGCTTCTTGGAGTCGGGGGTGGAAAGGTGTTGAGAGACTGACGCAGCTGACTTGTCTTTGACAGGTGTATTAGGAAAGTTCTCCACTAAATTTACGACATTTCCATGCTCTACAAGAAGAGAATCAATATAAGGAATAAGAGTGTCCCTGATCTCAAGAGTTGTGAGCTCTCTTCCTGTATGGCAAGCAAATTTTGATTAGTGGGAAAAATAAGAATTTGAAACAAAAGCACTTAGAAAACAGTAGCCAAAAATAACCAGTACATATTGCAATCGAACCTACAAGATACCGAGATTTATGAACAGAATGAAGCCTTGAGACAAGGTGATCGATGAGAAGATCTGATTTAGTGATGGTTTTTGCAGCAACTACCTTGCTCAGACCTTGTTTCTTCAAGAACAAGGATAACACAGATTTGGCTTCTTCTTTTTCAGCTGCTAACAGGGTTGGAGGCACTACTATGGAGTTGAACGATCCATTTCCAGAAGAAAAAGTTGCTTTTATATCACAACATGGTGTTAATACTAAAAAGGGTACAAGAACATGTAAATATGGATACGTTTAGCTTCTATATGAATGTTATAGTACTAGAAGAACGGCATGCTTACCAAGCTTTGCTTGGCAAAAGATGAGTTTCTCAGGAAAAGAAAGTCGAGTCCTACAGAAGTATTAAAGGACGTCAATGCTCAAGCTAAGAAAAATAAAACAGAAGAAATATCGGTATTAAAGAAAAAAAGGGTGATTTCACCATATAATAGCACAGAATAAGCAATTTCCTTCTTGACCAAATAACTTAAGCAAGAGGTTAAATGAAGCTTCTTTGTGGTTTAATTTAACATTACCAATCCTAAGATTGTATTGAGTTCCCTTTTCCCTTTCTTTTTCTCTAGATAAATAAATGCAACTGAGTTGGAATATAATTTAACATAGTAGCACCCACGTTATCATTCACCCCAAAAACATATAAACAAAAGAACAACAGGAACAAAGATTTCTGCTTTTCTGTAACAATAATTTTCAAAACTGAAGACAGAAACGAAAATTAAAGGAAAAGAAACTCTACCCCGTGATGCAAAGAGTTCCTCTAAAGAGAGATGAAAAATCAGACAAGCGGCTTGCACAAAGGGCTTTCATTTCCATCTTCAGGAAGGTAAACAGAAACTTTTATCAATACAAGACCAGTGTACAAATACAACTTATATTGACTCCTTCAATGAGAGTCCAGTTACTCTGTTTCATTGAAAACAGAACGTACAAATATTATTGAATATCTGGAGTTGTATAAATTAAGATTCATTCAATGAGCATCCTTTATTTCATAGAAACTGGGGGAAATAATCAACCATATTTAATAACATCAACCAATATTCCCACCACTCAAACATATCTATCAACAAGAATAGATTCACCAGCGACACAAATCATCACGCTGTAACCTGAATTAATCGACTTTAGAATGTGCAAAATCATCAAATTTGTACAAGAACAAATAAATTTTTACACAAATTTCATTTCAGTAACATCCATTGCATTGCTCATAAACGCTACCATTATCAATTCTCACATTGCTAAATAGTAGTATCACTGTTCAAACCCATTAAACAGTCAATCTTTACATTCTTAAGTCAGAAATAAACTTTTGAAAAAACACGAACCAATATAAAATTTTCCTTCCCAGTTAACATTCAAGAGGAAAAACATAAATAACTCATTTTGATCAAAGGAATGTCCATGAAATTTACAGAAAAAACAAGCCCAGATACAAGATAGCAGTAGCAAATAAAGTTAACGAAAGGGAACTGAAAATATTTAGCTCAACTCAAATTCAAGTCAATTTGCATATATATTTATATTTTAATTTAAAAAAATAATAATAATTGAAAATGAAAATAAAGAATGCAGATCTTACCAGCATTGAGCAATATGGAGTCTAATCTTCAGCTGCGAAGCCCTTCACTTCACTCTTTCCCAGTTTCTCGTCGAGCCCCGAGACTTTGATTGACCTGCACAGAGAAGAGAAGAAATTTAAAGGCTAACTAAACACCGGTTTAGTGTTTGTCAGACACTCTGGACGGTCAAGTCGAACGATTTAGTGTATTTGGATGAAGGGCTGACAGAACGGCACGACGCCGAATTAGATAAATAGGTCGGACTTGGAAATATCTCGGAAAAGCAAGAACGTTTGAAGCTAGGTGCTTAGTTATTTCTGATGAATATTTGAAGGGTTTGCCTTGGTGTATTCATAATGAACCTCAGGGTTAAAATCTAAGGAGGACTCTGAGTCCACTTTGTATAGACTGTTCCCTTCTTGCCTTTATCGATTCAAAGGAGCTTCATTTCCGATATATCCTGGATCTTGATGAAAATTAGAATGTGTAGGAGTTCTTGTTCCTATTTAGGATACGACTATACTATGGACTAATGGCCTGGAAGTCCCGTGTTTAGCTTAACTTGTAAGATAGTCAACTCAGTAGAATGGACAGTTCATAATGTGAATCTAAGGGGTCCACACCGATTGGCTGAGGCCTGACCATAACGTATTTGTTTCGTAATGGGCCTCGTCAGCCCAATACGTTTGGTTCCAAACAGATTAAACGAATAATCGTGTATAAATATTACACACTTCATTATGTAATTAATTGTATTCGTTAAATGGATTCACAACTTGAAGCCCTTCAACCTAAGCAACAATCAATGTATAACAAGATTGAATTTGTCAAGTGATACAATTAATGATTAAACTTATCTACTTAAATTGTGATCAAATGTCATTTTATGTACGTACGTGTCCAAATATTGCAGAGATCCTAAATTTATTATAAAAGGTATGTATATAATCACAAAATGACATTTAAAACTAAAACTACTTGAGGAAGCGAGATTGTTCTAAAATCCTGAAAAAGAGGTTAGCTGCAGAGCATTTATGGAAGAACTTTATGCCAGTACAGCAGAGTATTCATAGAATCCTCATTTATTGCCTACCATGCTACTGAATCGGTCTCACTTTAATGTATGTATCGAGGAGCAGCGTAAGGCGTGTATGAACATACCAATAAATCTTCTACAGTACATCGTGTCAACTGATAGTGTGATTGTCAAAGACTTTCTTAAGAATGAAAGTCAACAGCTGGGAACACTTGCATCACGATGACTATTGAAACAGCTGAGCAGAAGATCTATGATGATGCACACTTACGCGGTATAACCAGAGTAGATATTCGTTAGATAGAATTGAAATTCAAGTGACCACAAGATAATACTCGGACTATTTTAAGTGTAGAACGAACAGTATCAGCCATGTACTTCAGTTCTTTAGATTAATGACTGAGTCGGTTTGGGTCGAGAATTGAAAAAATTCAGAAACACAATGAGAGAAAATAACTTCTCCTTTCTTCTTGTCAAAGTAGTTATATATCTCTAAATTTAGTACCTCAAGGGGTTGGTCAATCTCAAAGAAGTTTACTCTTTTTATTGAGTTCTTGGATTCAAATCTTAAGTCACCTATCACTTTGTAACTTATCTAATCCTTTAAGCTTGTAGAGTGTTCAATGTACTCGGGTTTTAAGTGTGTATATTACTTGTAGAGGTTCAATGAACATAGGGTTTGAAGTGGGTATATTGCAAATCTAAAGGGGGGTATTGAGGATTATTGTAATAGTTGGTGGTAGTTTGGATTTTCTGAAACCTTGGGGGAATTAGTAGATAACAGGTCTATTTTAAATACAAACGTAATTTCTCAACGTATTAAGTCAATATTTTTTTTTTTTTTTTTTTTTTTTCTGTGAGACAAGTAAACATCTAAAGTTGCTTAATTTGACAATTAGAATTAGTTCATTACAAGTAACTATATAAACTATGAGCAAAAACAACTAAAGTGTCTAAGTAATTTTTTCCCACAGATTTAATTGATGATAAATATTAAATGATAATGGAGTGTCACTAAGTAACAAGACGATTTAATTAAACATCTTTAAACTTCTATTTAATTATTAAACCACATATAAAAAGGTGGAGAATAGTTAATATGTGCTGATTTTTAATGCTAAAAACATGATAATTCACTAAAAAATGTGAATAATATACTACCTAAGAGAAAGTCAAGAACCACATTTGGGTGACCTAATGTATAAAAGCAATGAGATTTCATTAGTTCTTAAGTTCAGAGTCCCCCAGACACTAATAGGAGTAGCCATTGGCTTTTACTCGGTCACAGTTTTAGAGTCCTAAGACATTAATAGAGATGCGCGTAAACTAACCCGACACCCCCGGTATAAAGAAAAAGTGATACCCTATTGCCAACAAAATTTTTAGATTTTTTTTAAAGATACATAGTTTTATCCTTTAATTTCATATTTTTTACCCTCACCCCCTTATTGATTAAACTTTACCTTTGATCTTCAACTTAATATACTTAATGCAATTTTATTATCATTTTATCTTTTTATCCTTAATCATTAAACATACTTTGCCCCTAAATATAGCTTCTATATCCATCATCAATTATTTTTAGCGTCTTCTCAAATTTAGTAAATTTCAACAAGAAATTTAAATAAACGAATATAATTGAAAAATTTTATGAAATTTAATCAAAACTCTTACAACATTAATTAAGATAAAATCAAAAAGATACGACTTTTTCTATATAATCATTGAATTAACAATCTTACAACATTTATGTAATTGATTTAGAACATAAAATAAAAAGAAAACTTAACCTAGATCCTGAAGTGCAAGATACTGGATCAATCTCTTCCGGCAGACTTCTTCAGGAGGAAACTTGGGAAGAAGACTGGCAACTGTCTAGCATTCTCCAAATAAGAAGTATACTGAAAATCTTCCCAAATGTTGTGCATCAGCTTTATTATTATTGTACCCTTTATCCAAACTTATATTTCCTGAATGGAATTATCCTGAAGCGGCTTCAAATTAATATTTTGATGTGCTCCCCTACTGATGAAGTTCTTTAGGGATTTCTAAAGCACCAGCTTCCTGTTCTTATATTGAAATGGTACAAGCTCAGAAATCTCTGGCCATAAATCGCCAAAACTCCAATTGCAGCAAGAATACTCGAATTCCTCGTTCAACATATAGTACGGGAAGCTAATTCTCGTCCATCCCGGTTTGACTGCGGTATAGCCCTACAGTGAGTTGAATTTAATCATTAACCGAACTAGTTTAATGAAAATTTTTGAAAAATTTAGGGCCTGTTTAGTATAGAAGTAAGACAATTTAAAAAAAAAAAAAAAAAAAAAAAAAACAAGGGATAAAAACAATCTTATATAATGTATTTGGTAGAAGTGAGTCAAAATGTTTTTCGAAAACAGTTTTTCAATCCAATCCTAAAATTTTAACGGTATATAAAACATATTAAGATGCAACTCAAAATTTTGAATTATATTTTAGTTTTGAAAATTATTTTTAAATCACAAATTATTGTATGAACAAGTTATAATTTACCTTTGTATGGCAGAACGAATTTTAAGCGATCGAGTGTCATCGAAATTAAGCAGGCTGTGACCGTAGGGTGCGGCACAGGCGCAGCCTCCGCGAGCTTGGATGCCGAACAAGTCATTGAGTGTGTTACAAAGGCTCCATTGAGAGGCTTTCCCCTCATCTTTGACGTTTCCGAGGGGAATTTGTAGTGGAATATGAGGAACG